CTTCCTTTTTAAATAGCAAAACTGCCTTTCAAAATAGCAAAGCTTTCCTTTCAAATAGCAGAACTCCCTTTTCAAATCGCAGAACTTCCTTTTCAAATAGCAGAATTTCCTTTTCAAATAGCAGAACTCCCTTTCAAGTAGCGGAGCATTCTTTTCAAAGAGCACAACTTCCTTTTCAAATAGCAGAACTCCCTTCTCAAATAGCGAAACTTTCCTTTCAAATAGCAGAACTCCCTTTTCAAATAGCAGAACTTCTTTTTCAAATAGCGGAATTTCTTTCTCAAATTAATAGCAGAACTCCCTCTTAAAACGGCGAAGCTTTCCTTTCAATGAGCAGAACTTCCTTTTCAAAGAGCAAAACTCCCTTTTCAAATAGCGAAGCTTTCCTTTCAAATAGCAGAAATGCCTTTTCAAATACGAGAACTTCTCTTTCAAATAGCAGAACTTCGGTTTCATATTAATACCAGAACTCTCACTTAAAACGGCGAAGCTTTCTTTTCAAATAGCAGAACTCCAATTTCAAATAGCACAACTTCCTATTTCAAGTAACGGAGTTTTCTTTTCAAAAAGCGGAAATTTCTCTTCAAATAGCAGAACTTCCTTTTCAAATAGCCAAGCTTCTTTTTCAAATGGCTGAACTTCCTTTCCAAATACCAGAACTTCCTTTTTGAATAGCAGAACTTCCTTTTTGAATAGCAGAACTTCCTTTTCAAATAGCAGAACTCCCTTTTCAAATTGGGAAGCCTTCCTTTCAAATAGCAGAACTCCATTTTCAAATAGCAAAACTTCCTTTTCAAATAGCAGAACTTCCTTTTCAAATAGCAGATCTCCCTTTTAAAATAGCGAAGGTTTCCTTTCAAATAGCAGAAATGCGTTTTCAAATAGGCGAACTTCTCCTTCAAATAGCAGAATTCTTTTTGAAATTAATAGCAGAACTCTCTCTTAAAGCGGCGAAGCTTTCCTTTCAAGTTGCAGAACTCCCATTTTAAATAGCACAACTCCTTTTCAAATAACGGTGTTTCTTTTCAAAGAGCAGAACTTCCTTTTCAAATAGCAGAACTTCCTTTTCAAGTAGCAGAACTCCCTTTTCAAGTAGCGGAGCATTCTTTTCAAAGAGCGCAACTTCCTTTTCAAATAGCAGAACGCCCTTTTCAAATAGCAGAACTTCTTTTTTCAAATAACAGAACTTCCTTTTCAACTAGCGTAGCTTTCCCTTCAAATAGCAGAGCTCCCTTTTGAAATACCAGAACTTCCTTTTCAAATAGCAGAACTTCCTTTTCAAATAGCAGAACTCCCTTTTCAAGTAGCGCAACCTTCTTTCCAAGAGCACAACTTCCTTTTCAAATAGCAGAACTCCCTTCTCAAACAGCGAAGCATTGCTTTCAAATAGCAGAACTCCCTTTTCAAATAGCAGAAATTCCTTGTCAAATTGCCAATCTTTTTTTCAAATGGCTGAACTCCCTTTTCAAATAGCAGAACTTCCTTGTTAAATAGCAGAACTTCCTATTCAAACAGCGGAGCTTACTTTTCAATGAGCAGAACTTCCTTTTCAAAGAGCAAAACTCCCTTTTCAAATAGCGAAGCTTTCCTTTCTAATAGCAGAAGTCCCTTTCCAAATAGCAGAACTTCTCTTTCAAATAGAAGAACTTCTTTTTCAAATTAATAGCAGAACTCCCTTTTAAAACGGCGAGGCTTTCCTTTCAAATAGCTGAACTCCCATTTCAAGTAGCACAACTCCCTTTTCAAATAACGGAGTTAAAAGAACTTCCTTTTCAAATAGCAGAACTTCCTTTTCAAATAGCAGATCTCCCTTCTCAAATAGCGAAGCTTTCCTTTCACATAGCAGAAACGCCTTTTCAAATAGCAGAACTCCCTTTTCAAAAAGCGAAGCTTTTTTTCAAAGAGCAGAACCTGCTTTTCAAATAACAGAACTTCATTTTCAAATTGCAGAACTCGATTTTCAAATAGCGAAGCTTTCCTTTCAAATAGCGAAACTTCCTTTTGAAATAGCAGAACTCCGCTTTCAAATAGCAGAACTTTTTTTTCAAAAGGCAGAACTTCCTTTTCAAAGAGCAGAAATCCCTTTTCAAATTGCGAAGCCTTCCTTTCAGATAGCAGAACTCCCTTTTCAAATAGCAGAACTTGTTTTTCAAATAGCGGAACTTTCTTTTCAAAGAGCAGAACTTCTTTTTCAAATTGCAGAACTTCCTTTTCAAATAGCAAAACTGCCTTTCAAAATAATGAAGCTTTCCTTTCAAATAGCAGAACTCCCTTTTCAAATAGCAGAACTTCTTTTTCAAATAGCGGAATTTCTTCTTCAAATTAATAGCAGAACTCCCTCTTAAAACGGCGAAGCTTTCCTTTCAATGAGCAGAACTTCCTTTTCAAAGAGCAAAACTCCCTTTTCAAATAGCGAAGCTTTCCTTTCAAATAGCAGAAATGCCTTTTCAAATAGGAGAACTTCTCTTTCAAATAGCAGAACTTCGGTTTCATATTAATACCAGAACTGTCACTTAAATCGGCGAAGCTTTCTTTTCAAATAGCAGAACTCCAATTTCAAATAGCACAACTTCCTATTTCAAATAACGGAGTTTTCTTTTCAAAATTCGGAACTTTCTCTTCAAATAACAGAACTTCCTTTTCAAATAGCCAAGCTTCTTTTTCAAATGGCTGAAGTTCCTTTCCAAATACCAGAACTTCCTTTTTGAATAGCAGAACTTCCTTTTCAAATAGCAGAACTCCCTTTTCAAATTGGGAAGCCTTCCTTTCAAATAGCAGAACTCCCTTTTCAAATAGCAAAACTTCCTTTTCAAATAGGAGAACTTCCTTATCAAATAGCAGATCTCCCTTTTAAAAGAGCGAAGGTTTCCTTTCAAATAGCAAAAATTCCTTTTCAAAGAGGCGAACTTCTCCTTCAAATAGCAGAATTCTTTTTGAAATTAATAGCAGAACTCTCTCTTAAAGCGAAGAAACTTTTTTTTCAAATAGCAGATCTCCCATTTTAAATAGCACAACTCCCTTTTCAAATAACGGAGTTTTCTTTTCAAAGAGCAGAACTTCGTTTTCAAATAGCAGAACTTCCTTTTCAAGTAGCAGAACTCCCTTTTCAAGTAGCGGAGCATTCTTTTCAAAGAGCGCAACTTCCTTTTCAAATAGCAGAACGCCCTTTTCAAATAGCAGAACTTCTTTTTTCAAACAACAGAACTTCCTTTTCAACTAGCGTAGCTTTCCTTCAAATAGCAGAACTCCCTTTTGAAATACCAGAACTTCCTTTTCAAATAGCAGAACTTCCTTTTCAAAGAGCAAAACTCCCTTTTCAAATAGCGAAGCTTTCCTTTCTAATAGCAGAACTCCCTTTTCAAATAGCAGAACTTCTCTTTCAAATAGCAGAACGTCTTTTTCAAATTAATAGCAGAACTCCCTTTTAAAACGGCGAGGCTTTCCTTTCAAATAGCAGAACTCCCATTTCAAATAGCACAACTCCCTTTTCAAATAACGGAGTTTTCTTTTCAAAGAGCAGAACTTCCTTTTCAAATAGCAGAACTTCCTTTTCAAATAGAAGATCTCCCTTCTCAAATAGCGAAGCTTTCCTTTCAAAGAGCAGAACTTCCTTTTCAAGTAGCAGAACTCACATTTCATATAGCAGAACACCCTATTCAAAGAGCAGAACTCTTCTTCAATTAGCAGAACTCCCGTTTCAAACAACGGAGTTTTCTTTTCAATGAGAGGAACTTCCTTATAAAATAGCAGAACTTCCTTTTCAAATAGCAGAACTCTCTTTTCAAATAGAGGAGCTTTCCTTCCAAAGAGCAGAAATTCCTTTTCAGATACCAGAACTTCCTTTTCAACTGGCGAAGCTTTGCTTTCAAATAGCAGAACTCCCTTTTCAAATAGCGGAACTTCTTTTTCAAATAGCAGAACTTCATTTTCATACAGCAGAACTGCCCTTTCAAATAGCGGAGCTTCCATTTGAAATGGCAGAACTCCCTTTTTAAATAGCAGAACTTCCTTTTCTAAGAGCAGAAGTTCATTTTCAAATTGCAGAACTTCCTTTTCAAATAGCAAAACTGCCTTTTCAAATAGCGAAGCTTTCCTTTCAAATAGCAGCACTCACTTTGCAAATAGCAGTATTTCTTTTTCAAATAGCAGAACTCCCTGTTCAAATAGCGGAGCTTTCTTTTCACAGATTAGAACTTCCTTTTCAAATAGCAGAAATGCCTTTTCAAATAGGAGAACTTCTCTTTCAAATAGCAGAATTTTTTTTCCAAATTTATAGCAGAACTCTCTCTTAAAACGGCGAAGCTTTCCTTTCAAATAGCGGACTCCCTTTTCAAATAACGGAGTTTTCTTTTCAAAGAGCAAAACTTCCTTTTCAAATAGCAGAACTTCCTTTTCAAATAGACAAGCTTTTTTTTCAAATGGCTGAACTTCCTTTCCAAATAGCAGAACTTCCTTTTCAAATAGCAGAACTTCCTTTTCAAATAGCAGAACTCCCTTTTGAAATAGCAGAACTCCCTTTTCAAATAGCAAAACTTCCTTTTCAAATACCAGAACTTTCTTTTCAAATAGCATAACTGCCTCTCAAAGAGCAGAACTTCTTTTTCAAATAGCGAAGCCTTCCTTTCAAATAGCAGAACTCCGTTTTCAAATAGCAGAACTTCCTTTTCAAATAGCAGAACTTCCTTTTCAAGTAGCAGAACTCCCTTTTCAAATAGGAGGGCTTTCTATTGAAAGAGCAGAACTTGCTTTTCAAATAGGAGAACTTCCTTTTCAACTAGCGAAGCTTTCCTTTCAAATATTAGAACTCCCTTTTCAAATAGCAGAACTCCCTTTTCAAATAGCGGAACTTTCTTTTCAAAGAGCAGAACTTCCTTTTCAAATTGCAGAACTTCCTTTTCAAATAGCAAAGCTTTCCTTTCAAATAGCTGAACTCCCCTTCCAAATAGCAGAACTTCTTGTTCAAAAAGCAGAACTTCCTTTTCAAAAGCAGAACTTCCTTTTCAAATAGCAGAGGTTTCTTTTCCAAGAGCAGAACTTTTTTTTTCAAATTGCAGAACTTCCTTTTCAAATGGCAAAACTGCCATTTCAAACAGCGAAGCTTTCCTTTCAAATAGCGAAGTTTTACTTTCAAAGAGCAGCACTCCCTTTTCAAATAGCAGAAAGTCCTTTTCAAATAGCAGGACTCCATTTTCAAATAGCGGAGCTTCCTTTTCAAACAGCAGAACTTCCTTTTCAAATAGCGTAGCTTTGCTTTCAAATAGCAGAACTCCCTTTTCTAATAGCGGAATTTCTTTTTCTAATAGCAGAACCTCTTTTTCAAATAGCAGAACTCCCTTTTCAAATAGCGGAGCTTTCTTTTCAATTAGCAGAACTGCTTTTTCAAATAGCAGAACTTCCATTTCAATTAGCAGAACTTCTTCTTCGAATAGCGGAACTCCCTTTTCAAATAGCCGAGCTTTCTTTTCAAAGACCAGAACTTCGCTTCCAAATAGCGGAACTACCGTTTCAACCAGCGAATCTTTCGTTTAAAATAGCAGAACTCCCCTTTCAAATAGCAGGACTCCCTTTTCAAAGCGCAGAAGTCCCCTGGCAAATAACAGAACTCCCTTTTTAAGTAGCGGGGCTTTCTTTTCAAATAGCAGAACTCCCCTTCCAAATAGCAGAACACCCTTTTCAAAAGCAGAACTCCTTTTTCAAATAGGGGAGCTTTTTTCAAATAGCAGAACTTCCTTTTCAAATAGCAGGACTCCATTTTCAAATAGTGGAGCTTTCTTTTCAAAGAGCAGAACTTCCTTTTCAAATAGCAGAACTCACATTTCATATAGCAGAACACCCTATTCAATGAGCAGAACTCTTCGTCAATTAGCAGAACTCCCATTTCAAATAGCAGAACTTCTTATTCAAATAGCAGAACTCTCCTTTCAAAAAGCAGACCTCTTTTTTCAAATAACGGAGTTTTCTTTTCAAAGTGCGGAACTTTCTTATAAAGTAGCAGAACTCCCTTTTCAACTAGCGAAGCTTTCCTTTAGAAAAGCAGAACTCCCTTTTAAAATAGCAGGACTCCCTTTTCAAGGCGCAGAACTCCTTTGTTACATAGCAGAACTCCCTTTTTAAGTAGCGGAGCTTTCTTTTCAAATAGCAGAACTCCCCTTCCAAATAGCAGAACACCCTTTTCAAAAGCAGAACTCCTTTTTCAAATAGGGGAGCTTTTTTTCAAAGCAGAACTTCCTTTTCAAATAACAGGACTCCATTTTCAAATAGTGGAGCTTTCTTTTCAAAGAGCAGAATTTCCTTTTCAAATAGCAGAACTCACATTTCATATAGCAGAACACCCTATTCAATGAGCAGAACTCTTCGTCAATTAGCAGAACTCCCATTTCAAATAGCAGAACTTCTTATTCAAATAGCAGAACTCTCCTTTCAAAAAGCAGACCTCTTTTTTCAAATAACGGAGTTTTCTTTTCAAAGTGCGGAACTTTCTTATAAAGTAGCAGAACTCCCTTTTCAACTAGCGAAGCTTTCCTTTAGAAAAGCAGAACTCCCTTTTAAAATAGCAGGACTCCCTTTTCAAGGCGCAGAACTCCTTTGTTACATAGCAGAACTCCCTTTTTAAGTAGCGGAGCTTTCTTTTCAAATAGCAGAACTCCCCTTCCAAATAGCAGAACACCCTTTTCAAAAGCAGAACTCCTTTTTCAAATAGGGGAGCTTTTTTTCAAAGCAGAACTTCCTTTTCAAATAACAGGACTCCATTTTCAAATAGTGGAGCTTTCTTTTCAAAGAGCAGAATTTCCTTTTCAAATATCAGAACTCACATTTCATATAGCAGAACACTCTATTCAAAGAGCAGAACTCTTCTTCAATTAGCAGAACTCCCATTTCAAATAGCAGAACTTCCTATTCAAATAGCAGAACTCCCCTTTCAAAGAGCAGAACTCTTTTTTCAAATAACGGAGTTTTCTTTTCAAAGAGCGGAACTTCCTTATAAAGTAGAAGAACTTCCTTTTCAACTAGCGAAGCTTTCGTTTAATATTATACCTCAAATTCAAATTGTCCAATGAAAAAACTGCATTTGTACCACGTGATAATGTGATTTTTTACGGTATTTCACTCAAATTCATGATTTCGCAATCCAGCGTGGATACTATGATATCCCCCGGCAGATCCACCGTGGGATATTATAGTATCCGACGCTCACGCGTGACGCGTGGACATCACGCTCTGAAAAAAATATGGCGTTCGCGAGCTGTTGTTTGTACTTTCGTATTTTCGTACAGAATATTTGACATAACAAAACACTTTCAAGACGTATGTTACCTTTAATGATCCAAAGGATACATGCTCAAATAGTTTAAAGAGGAAACGTCAAAAGCTCAGGTATACATAAGAAATTAAAAATTGTGTCGCGTATTTTATAATATTCAGCAAGTTTTATTTAAAAAACTTTATTCTAAACTTAGTGAGTTCTTTAACTTTCGGTATAATATATCATTTATAGACCTTCCGCTCGGGGGATTCTGCGATATTTCCATCAGTGATGATATTTTCCTCAAAATATCATCACTTCGGGAAATATTACGCCGAATCATCCTCGCTCCGGGTCTATAAATGATAAAAATAGCAGAACTCCCTTTTCAAATAGCAGGACTCCCTTTTCAAAGCGCAGAACTCCCTTGTCAAATAGCAGAACTCCCTTTTTAAGTAGCGGAGCTTTCTTTTCAAATAGCAGAAATCCAATTCCAAATAGCAGAACACCCTTTTCAAAAGCAGAACTCCTTTTTTAAATAGGGGAGCTTTTTTCAAATAGTAGAACTTGCTTTTCAAATAGCAGGACTCCATTTTCAAATAGTGGGGCTTTCTTTTCAAAGAGCAGAACTTCCTTTTACAAATAGCAGAACTCCCATTTCATATAGCAGAACACCCTATTCAAGGAGCAAAGCTCTTCTTGAATTAGCAGAACTCCCGTTTCAAATAGCAGAACTCCTTTTCCAAGTTTTCTTTTCAAAGAGCGGAACTTCCTTATAAAATAGCACTCACATTTCATATAGCAGAACACCCTATTCAAAGAGCAGAACTCTTCTTCAATTAGCAGAACTGCCGTTTCAAATAGCAGAACTCCTTTTCCAAATAAAGGAGTTTTCTTTTCAAAGAGCTGAACTTCCTTATAAAATAGCAGAACTCCCTTTTCAACTAGAGGAGCTTTCTTTCCGAAGAGCAGAACTTCCATTTCAAATACCAGAACTTCCTTTTCAACTGGCGAAGCTTTGCTTTCAAATAGCAGAACTCCCTTTTCAAATAGCGCAACTTCTTTTTCAAATAGCAGAACTTCCTTTTCATCCAGCAGAACTGCCCTTTCAAATAGCGGAGCTTCCATTTGAAATGGCAGAACTCCCTTTTTAAATAGCAGAACTTGCTTTTCAAACAGCAGAAGTTCCTTTTCAAATTGCAGAACTTACTTTTCAAATAGCAAAACTTGCCTTTTCAAATAGTGGAGCTTTCTTTTTAAATAGCAGAACTTCCTTTTCAAATAGCAGAAATCCCTTTTCAAATAGAGAATCCTTCCTTTCAAATAGCAGAACTCCCTTTTCAAATAGGAGAGCTTCCTTTTCAAATAGCAGAACACTTTCTTTTCAAATAGAGCTCCCTTTTCAAACAGCGGAGCTTTCTTTTCAAAGAGCAGAACTTCCTTTTCAAAGAGCAAAACTCCCTTTTCAAATAGCGAAGCTTTCCTTTCAAATAGCAGAACTTCTCCGTCAAATAGCAGAACTTCTTTTTCAAGTTAATAGCTGAACTCCCTTTCAAAACGGCGAAGCTTTCCTTTCAAATAGCAGAACTCCCATTTCAAATAGCAGAACTCCCTTTTCAAATAACGGAGTCTTCCTTTCAAAGAGCAGAACTTCCTTTTCAAGTAGCAGAACTTCCTTTTCAAATAGCAGAACTCCCTTCTCAAATAGCGAAGCTTTCCTTTCAAAAAGCAGAACTCCCTTTTCAAATAGCAGAACCCCCTTTTCAAAAAGCGAAGCTTTCTTTTCAAAGAGCGGAACCTGCTTTTCAAATAATAGAACTTAATTCCTCTTTAATTAGCAGAACTCGCTTTTCAAATAGCGAAGCTTTCCTTTCAAATAGCAAAACTCCCTTTTGAAATAGCAGAACTCCCCTTTCAAATGGCAGAACTCCCTTTTCAAACAGCGGAGCTTTCTTTTCAAAGAGCAGAACTTCCTTTTCAAAGAGCAAAACTCCCTTTTCAAATAGCGAAGCTTTCCTTTCAAATAGCAGAACTTCTCCTTCAAATAGCAGAACTTCTTTTTCAAATTAATAGCAGAACTCTCTTTTAAAATGGCGAAGCTTTCCTTTCAAATAGCAGAAATGCCTTTTCAAATAGCAGAACTCCCTTTTCAATAAGCGAAGCTTTCTTTTCGAAGAGCGGAACCTGCTTTTCAAATAACAGAACTTCGTCTTTAATTAGCAGAACTCGCTTTTCAAATAGGGAAGCTTTCCTTTCAAATAGCAAAACTCCCTTTTGAAATAGCAGAACTCCCCTTTCAAACGGCAGAACTTCCTTTTCAAATAGAAGAACTCCCTTTTCAAACAGCGGAGCTTTCTTTTCAAAGAGCAGAATTTCTCCGTCAAATAGCAGAATTTCTTTTTCAAATTAATAGCAGAACTCTCTTTTAAAATGGCGAAGCTTTCCTTTCAAATAGCAGAAATGCCTTTTCAAATAGGCGTACTTCTCTTTCAAATAGCAGAACTTCTTTTTGAAATTAATAGCAGAACTCTGTCTTAAAACGGCGAAGCTTTCCTTTCAAATAGCAGAACTCCCTTTTCAAATAGCAGAACTTCTCTTTCAAATAGCAGAACTTCTTTTTCAAATTAATAGCCGAACTCCCTTTTAAAACGGCGAAGCTTTCCTTTCAAATAGCAGAACTCCCATTTCAAATAGCACAACTCCCTTTTCAATTATGCAACTTGTCTGTAAATAGACTGTAAATTTCATTTACACACTAAATGTACATTGACAAACTATGTAAATTTAAAACTAATTTGTAAATTGTTTGTAAATTATTTGTAAAACATTGGGAATTATTTCCGAATAGTTTGTAAATCACTGCAACCATTTGTAAACAGTTTGTAAATTATCAGCGAGTGTTTGCAAATAGTTTGTAAATTAAATTGTAAATAGTATGTAAACTATTAGTAAATAGTTTGTAAATTAAATTGTAAATAGTTTGTAAACTATTAGTGACAATTTGTAAATAGTTTGTAAATTAAATTGTAAATAGTTTGTTAATTATTAGCCACTAGTTGTAAATAGTTTGTAAATTAAGTTGTAAATAGTTTGTAAACTATTAGTGACAATTTGTAAATAGTTTGTAAATTAAATTGTAAATAGTTTGTAAATTATTATCAACTAGTTGTAAATAGTCTGTAAATTAAATTGTAAATAGTTTGTAAATTATTAGTAACTATTTGTAAATAGTTTGTAAATTAAATTGTAAATAGTTTGTAAATTATTAGTAACTATTTGTAAATAGTTTGTAAACGACATTGTAAATAGTTTGTAAATTGTTAGCAACTAGTTTTAAATAGTTTGTAAATGAAATTGTAAATAGTTTGTAAATTATTAGTAACTATTTGTAAATAGTTTGTAAACGACATTGTAAATAGTTTGTAAATTGTTAGCAACTAGTTGTAAATAGTTTGTAAATGAAATTGTAAATAGTTTGTAAATTATTAGTAACTATTTGTAAATAGTTTGTAAACGACATTGTAAATAGTTTGTAAATTGTTAGCAACTAGTTGTAAATAGTTTGTAAATGAAATTGTAAATAGTTTGTAAATTATTAGTAACTATTTGTAAATAGTTTGTAAACGACATTGTAAATAGTTTGTAAATTGTTAGCAACTAGTTGTAAATAGTTTGTAAATGAAATTGTAAATAGTTTGTAATTTATTATGTATTACTAAATCAATCACTTGAGCAACCATTTTTTATCTAAACATATTTATTTTCCAAAATCTCTTATATAGAGTACATTTTTACTGTAAGTTAAAACAATGAAGTAAATTAGAAAGTACAAATTTAAACCATAATTATTTCTAGGGACCGTTCATTATTAATACAGGGGGGTATGAAATGTGTGCGGAGCGTAGACATTTCTGAGCAAATATTTTAGGGGAGATGTAAGTTTTTTTTAATGATGGAGGGGGGCTTGCATACATATTTCTCAATTATAGCACAGTTGGGTTGGTCCGAAGATGGACAGGGTTCCTCGACCAGAACAAGATTATGTCAGTGTTTGATAGCTCTAACAAGCAACCCAGTGGAGAAACAAGATATCTGGATGATTTCCAGCCAAGAAAAAACTTGAAAGTGGAGTTTGCCAATGATCGTATATCTGCAACCGACCAGGAATGCATTACAATAAATTCATCGTAAAGGAAAACTTGGTGCATGAATACCTGGAGCACTTGCAGAATATGCAAAGGATAAAGGGGAAAAAAACAGAACAAGAGGCAAACGGAAAAAAAACCAGAACAAGACAGAAGACATATGATGACTACTGTATGAATGGGGGAAACAAGTACAACCTAAAGAAATCAGTAAGCTACTATATGCGGCAGAACTTGATAAGTATCTCAATTATCACAAGTTGAACAGGAAAGGAAAGAAGCCGGATAAGGTATTCAAAACCATAGCGTTAAGTAAGTAATATAACAGTTTATAGTATCAATACTGTAACTCGATGCAATTTAGCCACTTCCTCTCTGTGTAAGTTATTATATTTATGTATGAAGAGGGACAGGAGTATTCAGAGCGTGGAAATACCATGTATTGTAAACAGTGATGACGACGAGAGTGAATTAGAGGAACTGGATACTGTGGAGAGTGTGCGTGAAACTGAAATGTCTGATAACATATTGAAGAAATCTCTTCCAATGATTTTGACAACTTATTCTTTTCATATACAGTATGACCAATACATGCCAAAAAATATTCAATTCATATCTTATATTCAATTCATATCTTATATTCATCAGCCTTTTTTTTATATGGAAAACGTATAAAATATTAATTTGTGGTAAAGACAACAAAGAGGGGGGATGTAAATTTTTCAAACTGTAGTCTAGGCAAATAAGAAAATCAAAATATGACCGGCCAAACATCCATATTGACCGGCAAATAATGCACATGTCATGATGACGAGTCGGAGTGTACCGTCCAGATGTATTTCGAGGCCTGGGCAAAGGGGGATGTATACTTTACTATTGCTTTTACCAAATCCGTAACAGCCCCCCCCCCCCTTCCTGTATTAATAATGAAAGGTCCCTTTAAACCTATAGTCTATATTACATATTTTGATTCAATTGAATCATTTCAACATAGTTTATATCAGTTGCAATCCATATTAAAGTACATGTTACCAGTACAGGTGATTTGAAACCAATAGAATCTTTGCAGAATGGCACTTAACACACTCAAATAAGAACTCGTCACTATGTTGTAGCTACAAATGATTTGCTGTTAGCAACTGCATGTTCTTCGTTAAATTAAACATTAATGGCCAACACGTTCCCTTGAAAAGATAATTATTTTGCATTAGAGAATATTATGAAGAGTGCACTGGTACGTTTTATGGGTCCACCAGGCCAATGAGGATGTATCATACAACTTATAGAACAAACCCAATCTAATTTTTTGTTGGTGATTATTTCACGGTCATACGTACTATTAATCTTAATTAATCATTCAAACTATCCATACTGTAAAACAGTTTCCACTAGCTGCCAAAAGATTCTAGGTCTTGACAACCTGCTGATTAAAAAAGACTCGAAGTTTTGACAACATAAATTTCCACTATTCACAGTATACTATTAAGCTTAATAATCATTTAAATGTTTAATTATACTCTCCATACTGTTAAACAGTTTCCACTGCCTGCCGAAAGACTCTAGATCTTGACAACCTGCTGACTAAAGACTCAGAGTCTTGACAACATAAATTTCCACTATTTGCAGTATACTATTAAGCTTAATTAATTTATCATTTTATTAAGTGTTTAATTATACTATCCTTACTGTAAAACAGTTTCCATTGGCTGCCAAAAGACTCTAGGTCTTGACAACCTGCTGACTATTAAAGGACATTGGCAACCAAAATTTTTATTACTTATATCTATTAGGTATACTTACGGAATATTTAATTTAATATTTTGGCCGGTTTGTCGCGTTTAGTTGCTGAGAAAATTCGATTGAATTTGAGAAAATTTGAACAGTTGTCCGCCATTTTGAAAATAAGCGCGTATGCTAATTTATGCCACAAAATACATTATCTGACGTCATTGGCTGGGTAAACACAATCTATAAACAATACCGTGTATTACCACGCGCAGTGCATTTTGAGCCAAAACAAAAGGCGCAAAAGTTTTACCAAACATGTAACTTGTTTGTAACACTATTTCTCATAGTATATATCCTACTCCGTGTTAAATAAGCGCAGAAATTCGAGTGTAACAAGGCAAATACTAATGCAATATTTTATGATCAATTACCTGCATTGTAAATTGCGCCATTTCTTGCTTTCCCAGTCGCTCGATATGTTTTTATCTGATAGTGTAGACTTCTCTTGTTTGATTTGCGAAGAGTGTTGGCCAGTATAACGCTCAAAACGACATATTTTTAGCTAACATAACACGCACGCAATAGAATTCTCTCTTGTAGTTTTGGTGCTACCCAGCCAATGACGTCACAAAGTTCATTGACCTTCGAGATAATTTTTCAAAAATATTTTCCAAGATGGCGGCGAAACTGGCCGAAACACAAAGTTTGCATGCATTTTACTCGTAGACTAAAATGTTCAAGACGGAAATGATAATATTTTCATAGTTCGGTTGTCAAGTAGGATTGAAATAGCCAATAAAAATTTTCGTTGCCAATGTCCTTTAAAAGATCTGTTAGTCTTGACAACATAAGTTTCCACTATTCACAGCATACTATTAAGCTTAATTTATCATTTAATTAAATGTTCAATTATACTATCCATACTGTAAAACAGTTTCTACTGGCTGCCGAAAGACTCTAGATCTTGACAACCTGCTGACTAAAGACTTGATGTCTTGACAACATAAGTTTCCACTATTCACAGTATATTATTAAGCTTAATTAATTAATTTATCATTTAAATGTTTAATTATACTATCCATACTGTGAAACAGTTTCCACTGGCTGCCGAAAGATTCTAGGTCTTGACAACCTGCTGACTAAAGACTCAAAGTCTTGACAACATAAGTTTCCACTATTCACAGCATACTATTAAGCTTAATCTATCAATTAATTAAATGTTTAATTATACCATCCATACTGTAAAACAGTTTCCACTGGCTGCCGAAAGACTCTAGATCTTGACAACCTGCTGACTAAAGACTCGGAGTCTTGACAACATAAAATTCCACTATTCACAGTATACTATTAAGCTTATTTAATTAATCATTTATATGTTTAATTATACTATCCATACTGTAAAACAGTTTCCACTGGCTGCCGAAAGACTCTACGTCTTGACAACCTGCTGACTAAAGACTCGGAGTCTTGACAACATAAAATTCCACTATTCACAGTATACTATTAAGCTTATTTAATTAATCATTTATATGTTTAATTATACTATCCATACTGTAAAACAGTTTCCACTGGCTGCCGAAAGACTCTACGTCTTGACAACCTGCTGACTAAAGACTCGAAGTCTTGAGAACATAAGATTCCACTATTCACAGCATACTATTAAGCTTAATTTATCATTTAATTAAATGTTTATACTATCCATACTGTAAAACAGTTTCCACTGGCTGCCGAAAGACTCTAGATCTTGACAACCTGCTGACTAAAGACTTGATGTCTTGACAACATAAGTTTCCACTATTCACAGTATATTATTAAGCTTAATTAATTAATTTATCATTTAAATGTTTAATTATACCATCCATACTGTGAAACAGTTTCCACTGGCTGCCGAAAGATTCTAGGTCTTGACAACCTGCTGACTAAAGACTCAAAGTCTTGACAACATAAGTTTCCACTATTCACAGCATACTATTAAGCTTAATTTATCAATTAATTAAATGTTTAATTATACCATCCATACTGTAAAACAGTTTCCACTGGCTGCCGAAAGACTCTAGATCTTGACAACCTGCTGACTAAAGACTCGGAGTCTTGACAACATAAATTTCCACTATTCACAGTATACTATTAAGCTTATTTAATTAATCATTTAAATGTTTAATTATACTATCCATACTGTAAAACAGTTTCCACTGGCTGCCGAAAGACTCTAGGTCTTGACAACCTGCTGACTAAAGACTCGAAGTCTTGACAACATAAGATTCCACTATTCACAGCATACTATTAAGCTTAATTTATCATTTAATTAAATGTTTATACTATCCATACTGTAAAACAGTTTCCACTGGCTGCCGAAAGACTCTAGATCTTGACAACCTGCAGACTAAAGACTCAAAGTCTTGACAACATAAGTTTCCACTATTCACAGTATAATATTAAGCTTAATTAATCATTTAAATTTTAATTATACTACATGTACCCATACTGTAAAACAGTTTCTACTGACTGTTGAAAGACTTTAGGTCTTGGCAACCTGCTGACTAAAGACTCGGAGTCTTGACAACATAAGTTTCCACTATTCACACAGGTGATGTGTCAGAATAAATACTTGAGAGTTGGGTAGAAAGCCTGACTAAATTCCTCACAGGCATCAATCCTTGTGACATCATTATGCATATAAGGTCTATTGGTCACCTGCCACCCTGGTCATTTCTAGGGCTGCACTAGGTAGAACTTTTTGCTATCCAGCCAGATTTCAGCTATGTTGGATAGTTGAAAGATACCGGCCAAATACTGGATACTGTTGGATATAAAGTTTAGACTTTCATTTAAGATAAATAATTATTCTAATTGGTTATAAAGTGACGGTGTTTATAATACTTGAGATACTTGAAATCATAGGAAAGAACTTCATTCTAAACATGGGTATTGCCAAAGCCTTGCTCACAAAGTTCAAAGGTTGCATATAAACACACAACTTGACTCCTAAACATTCACTAATAATGCCATATTTAGGGCTGCATAGTACTTTATATCATATTGGGATATTTCTTCAGGGGTACAATATTATTTCCTCCGGGGTCATCGTTTGAGCTTGGAATTCCTCAGAGGTATAACTATATGGGCCTGTTTATATGGAAGCCGGGCTGGCCCGCTAAGTGAGACAGCCCGATAAGCAAGATCTCGCTGTGTAGTTATTTTTATAGTAAAAATTATTGTGCGTTTATATGGACAAGCTGGCTGGCCCGGTTGCCGAGATCTCGCTTGAAAGAGGCAAGATCTCGCTTACCAGGATGGAAATTTCTCCATATAAACACTCGCAAGCGGGCTTGCCCGGTTGCCGGGATGAAAGTTCAAAGATACCGCCGCAAGCTATTTTTAACAACTGTCAAAACAATACAATGTAACAAAATTGTCCCAGCAAGCGGGATGAAATTTTATCATATAAACACAAGAGAAATTCATCCCGCTTACCGGGCTGTCTCGCTAAGCGGGTCAGCCCGGCTTCCATATAAACAGGCCCTATGAGAAACATATACCCTGAATGTATTCAGGATATTCAGCAACATGTTTATTTAGGGTTGTCTGGATAATATTAAAATGGA